CCCGCATGTATACCAACTACACTAAGGGTTTGTATTTTCCAGAGACCTTGGCTTCATTATACTGTCATTTGCACAGTGGTTTTGACACCCTTTGAGAGCTTGTTTGGAGGCTCTGTCAGGGGGGTGCAGCTACCTTTCACCAGGACCGTCCTCCTCTATGGCGGGAGGTCATCCTCCCACACTGCAGAAGGCTGTCCTCTCCGCCTACTAAGTGTGTAGATTCAGGAGGGATGGATGTAGAGCCATGAGGGAGGTAGAGGACACCCACCTAGCCAAGCAGATCAGCCAAATCAACACCGCTGATTAATGTAGTGACCGATGCCACAGCCAGATCACCCTCACATCCTTGACTCCCCTTACGGGCTTTTCAAGAAGATCATAGGAAGAAATAGCCTATAAAACCGTCACCCCGCCATGGTTTGGGAGTGTGCATATCATATGCACACAAACCTCTTTAAAGGTCTACAACACAGGACCCAGTGGGTAGACCCACCGGGGTTAGCCTGTTCTATTTCTCCAGAGTGTACTATTATTTTGATTTGATGAAATACACTTCTGCTTGAAGTAGCTGTGTTTTCTCTGCTGAATCCATTCCTTTGAGAGATCTTCACCCCACTGTTTGAGAATAATCCCCCTCTGAAACGCACATCCAGAGGGCAGGAGCTCTGTGCTTCCCTCTACTGCCCACATCCTGTTCCCTGCTGCTCTAGCATCTCCGGCTGAGAACGTACAGTGAGAAAACCCAACTGAGATGTACAGAATGAGGGACTAAGGAGGGAGGGGGGGAGCCAGACCTAAGAGCATCACACAGCAACCACACGTGTACCCCCCCCCCCCAGGGAAGGAGAAAGGCACACCCTAGGAACCTGGGATGGCAGAGTGGAGACTGGGCATGCTTCCTGGGGTGTGCATTGAATGTGTGCGGAAGGGACTGGCCTGAAGAGACACAAAAGACACAAGGCAGGAAGAGAGGCAAGGAGCGACATGCTGAACTGCTGCTGGGGAGGCCATGGTGGGAGGTGGGCTCCAGAAGATGCCAGCATCTCCCCTTCAGGTAAAATTCAACTGAAGAGAAAGTATGTGACACTGACTGAGTCCTATTCCTAAATCTCCACCTTCCCCTGCCCCTGAAACTTCAGAGGACATTATCTTTCCTTGTTTCTTCTCTGGAGGTCAGTTAAGGGACTGGGATCCTCTACCCACAGCTCACCATCACCTTGTTTGGCCACACTCCCCTCCACCCCTGCCCTGGCAGGTCAGAGAGCCTGTCACTCTACCGAAAGAACATTCTTGCCCTCAGATGACACCAAACATGCCTGCAGAACGTGGCTCTATTTGCTGGGCAGCAGGATGCCCCTTCTGGACAGACGACTAGGGGTGGAGCGGTGGTGGCTAAGCACCCAAGGGCTGAGAGGAGGCGAGTTAGCTGGGTACATGGAGGGGAGAACTTCCCCAAGAGAGCTGAACAGAACCGAACGCCATCAACTCACTTCCTTTTAGCGTGCCACAGGCGATGGGCCACAGCAAGGGCCTGCTGGAAGTTTTCACTCACAAATGACCTGCCGACCGGCCGAGGCAGTCCAAATGACTTCTCAGCTGGGCTGGAGAGACCCTAGAGTGGACACAAACACTAGGCATGCCCAACTGTCCACAAAGCTAAGAGATACGCAAGCCTCAGATGACAGTGTGTGAGCGCCCTGGGCTACTAGAGGCCTCCAAAAGTAGTGGGGAGAAGACGTGCACAACTCTTGCTTAGGGGTGTGACAGTCACTTTGGGGGCATGTGGCCCCACGCAGAATGGTCCATGCTGTGCTACTATAAAGGGGCCGGCCAAGCCTGTGCCCACATTGTGCCCTGCCTCCCAGAACCTGACCCTTGTAAAGACCGACCCCACACAGAGCATAATCACCCCTCTGTGGAGTCTGTCCCCACCTTCCCAAGAGCTTCTGGTAACAGCTGGACCACTGTCAACCTTTGTGACAGTGTGGGTCCTTCCTTTGGGGGGGTCCATCATCCCCTCCTGATCTCTAAGCCTGATTCTTCTATTTGGACAGCTTGGAGGGGGTGAAGAAAAGGCCTTGAAGCTGTGCCTCGGACCCAGCACCAGCAGGACCCAGAGGGAAGGAGAGGGCCATAAGAGCAGTCAGGGACAGCTAACAGCTCATGAGCACTGTATGCCCCTGTGCTGGGGAGAAGCAGCACCTCACTCAAAGCGACAACGAAAGCTTTTCCCCTTTCTCTAGGAACCTCTTCAATGTTCATTTCCAAAGCGAGAGCTGACCCAGCCCCTCAGAGAGAATTCTGAGGAGAAAGAAGGACATGTCGTCGCCTTTGGGAGGAGCCACATCCAACCTCAGTCCCTCACTCTTCTCTTCCAAGTGGCTCAGTAGATTTCACTTATTATCTTTACACTCCTTTGTTGAAGTCCCCACCACCCACCAAGGGCACTGCCAGGACACTTGTCAACTACGATGCTTTGCAAACCTCAAGCCTGCAATTTTGTCCCTTGAGGATCATCTGAGGCCATTCTCATCACGTACCCAGCAAGCGCTGCCCGCCCCCCCCCCCCCAGCCTTGGGCCTGCTCACCTGGGCTCCTGCTGCCCTATCTGCCTCTGACAGGCTCAGCCTTTGTAGATCTGCCTGTAGACACCCCAAGACCTCCAGGCCCATCATGTACAGTGTCTCCATTACTCCTCATGTGTCCTCACTCCTGGTGGACTCAAGCAGCACTGCTTCCACACAGTCCCATCTGCCAGAGACCGCAGCAGCTGCCGCCCCAGCCGCTCCACGGCTCAGCGCAGCCCTCTCTTTACAAGTGTCCCGATTTCTCTACATGAATCTTGCAGCAGCTTTTCCTGCCTGTCTTGTTCCCTGTGTGGAAGTTTCGTTTGTTTCCCCCTCTGGATTCTTGAAAAGCTTTGGCTTCTTCTTAGTTTTTAGGCAGCCACTTAAAGCCTTCTAGTAGCAGGGTCCTCTGCTTTTCTCCCATCTCCCTACTCTGACATGTGTGGTTTTTCTTACTTTCGGGGAAAATCTCTTCACTATCCGGTTTTGATGTCTTTGTAGAATTCAAGAAATTTCAGCTTTTGGTTTAAGAAAACTGAGCGAATAACTGTGACCTGAATACTAAAGGTCTCAGTGGTAGAATATGTCTAAAGAAAATAAAAATGTTGCAAAGGAAAAAAAAAGGAAACCAGCAAGATTGGATTGCAGAATGTAGATTTAAAAAAAAAATCAGACATTGCTTCAAACCCGCCCCCCCAACACACAGAAATATCTAATACGCACTCTGAACACGCCCTGCTTGTCAAACCGAATGAAGTGAGACAAAGTAAGAAAGGTGTCGGTGGGGTGTGGCCGTGAGTAGACCCAGACCTTGGCCAACCATTGGCCGCCTTCCCTGCAGGAGCTGGGTGTGCTCTGTGTGAGTGTGCTGGGGGTGGGCGGAAGCACACAGGCACTCTCAGCCCCAGTGTCCAGGGATCCCGGGATGGGACAAAGGCAAGGGCCCTGTGCCCATCTGGTGTTCCACAACTCTGAAGAGCATTTGAGATTTGGGAGCTCTGGGGGCGGCCATTCTTTAAACACTCTGCAACGAACAGAGGAAAGCTCCCTTCTTACAGAAGGAAAAAGGTGAAGGCGGCTGGTCAAATAGGCATGAACTGGTGGGGATGGCCCTTCCATCCCTGTGCAGTTTCCTGCCCCCGGGTCCCTCCACGGCTTCCTCTCTAGACTTCATTACAGGGGTAAGGATTGGAGCCTGACGGTTGCATGGTCACAGTTCTCTCAGATCGAGAGTCCCTTGGTTGGCAATGCACCCCAGTAGGCCCCACATTACCAGTACCACCTCTCAGCAGGCCTGAGAAATCCATCAACCCCAAGTTCAGCCTGCTGTTTCTCAGGACTGAAAGCGCCAGGTGCCTCCGACAGTGGTCTCTCCTAGGTGAGGAAGTAGCTGCCTTCCTCCTTGCAAGCCAACATGAGGAAAAGGGCGGCGCGCGGGGGGTGGGGGGGTGGGGGGGGTGCTCCAGTGATGAAGAACTAGCTAGCCTGCACCCAGCCCAGGTGCCTTGCTGCAGCCGTGGGGGCCATCACGCCTCACTCCGGAGGCAGGAGTGACGCTTTTTCACTGGAAGCCCGGCACAGCCTCGCAGGCTTGTTCTGATTGAGATGCCAGCCAGAGTGCTGCCAGCCTTTTACAGACCCGGGAGCCCTGAGACCCGAGGACAGGATTTATCTATCACCCGATCAAACTTTCCACATTTGAAGGTATCCTCACATCTTAGATCAAAATACACGACAAGAAGCAGATTCGATTAAATGAAGGCGCCTTTTGCAGCCATAACTGGCATCTCGCCTCATTATTTCCCAGGCGACTAAAAATTAAAGCAAAGCTCGCTCTCCCAAGGCTATGCCCCGCGAGCTCAGCAGCGCGTTTCAGCACCAGCTTTGGGGACAGTCGCCATCAGGAGGGAGGGCACAAACTCCTCCGAGTCACCAGGCGCTCCCCCTCTACCCAAGGCAGGTATCCATGCGTCAGGAAAGCAGAGGGCTTCTGTGAACCCCCGCCAAAAATACTGCTCCAAACAAAATCTATCAGTGGTCACGCCACCCATCCCTATGGTCCTCTGCACTGGGGACGCCCCTTGTCCAGAGGACAGCAATTACTCTAAGCCTCGCGCATGCAGGAGGGTCCCCTAGGCGTCTCGACCCGCTGCGACCCCTGGGGATTCGGCTGTGTCCCCCGAGGCCCGGACTGTCTGTGCACAGGAAGGAGGCGCCCCGCGGTGGTGTATCAAGCGGCCCCTGCCACATGGAACCACAGGTCTTTTGTGTCCCGTGCCTCGGGCATCTCCAGGGAAGAAGACCCAGGAGCCAGAATGTCTCTCCAGTTCCGAGACTTTTGATTTCGGCTCGGCTCTCCTAGAGCTGGAGGGGCCTGGGCTGGGGTTCCCCGACGAGGCGCCGCGCCCTCCAGGGGGCTCGGGCGCCACTTACCGCAGCCGGCGCGCAGCCGGTGCCGCTCAGACGCGGGCTGGGTCCCCGGCGCGGCACTCGAGGGGGGCGGTCAGACCAAGTGGCATCGCGCGCCCCAGGCTCGGTGCAAACGCGCCCCGCGCGGCCGTCCGCGGGGTCCCGGGCCACAGAAGACTGTGCGCGTCTGGGGAGGAAGGGGGCGCGGCGCCGAGCCCAAGCCACAGCAAAGCCACCCGCGTGCGGGGCTCGGGGTCTGCGCAGCGGGCCCACGGGGTGCAAGGCGGTGACCCCCAACCCTAGTCTGCTGCGCCACGCTGGCCGCACCCACTCCCGCGCACCCACTCCGCAGCAGGTCTCCTCCCGCACCGGGAGGGGCCGGGAAATCCCGCCCGCCGCCGCCGACGTCACTGGTGCGTCACTGGGGCTCCCGCGCCGGGCTCTGCACGCCCCTAGCCCCTCACTTCACCCAGACCCGCCCTCCCGGGGCGCGCGCATCCTGGAGGGCTCAGGGCTCCGGGGCAGACCTCCCCACCCCCAAGTGCAAAGTGAGGACAGCCAGCTCAGGGTACTTCACCTGGGGACACTTAGGGTGCCGAGGAAGGTGGGTGCTGCCAGCGCAGGAGCTGAACATCTGGAAATGCGCACGGTCCTTCAGCCGACGTCGCTAAGCAACGTTGGCAAGACCGCCACGCGGCCGGGCTGGGCAGAGCAGCTGCCTCGCAGCCAGCCACTGGAGTGCAAGTGGACAGCAGGGCGCTGCAGCCGCGGGGAATCCTGGCGACTCCCAGCAGTGAGGCGGTCGTGGCTGGCCAGGCCTCGCCCTAATGGAACTGTGTCTTGTGATTCTTACTGTAAACCGATGAATTACCGTATACTCCTTCCTTGAGGGGAAAGCAGCTTCAGCCACGTCTGTTTTCCAACTCTCATAAAATGACACAAAGCCCTCTAAAGACAGAAGCCCGGAAATCATGTCGGGCAGAGTTGCTAAGATGCGTAGAGAAGGAGGTCGTGTTACTTCTGTCTATAAACACCACTGACAGGGAGATTTCTTGAAAATCTTCTCCTGTGCACCTTCAGCAACCATCCCTGCTGTAAGTGATGCTGGACAGGGCACCTCAGATTTTCGCAGATTTAGCTCACATCTCCCACTTTATCCTGGACAAAGGTGCACCTTGGCGGAGTGGAGCTGCCCCTAGAGGTCAGAAAGGCCCACTGGGGCAGAAAATCACACCGATTGTCTTCATAGCTCTCAGGAGTCCCTTTAGGTCTCAGAATTAAACTACTACGCAGTGATTTAGCCAGTAATGTTCACATCACAGAGACTGAGTGAGAAAGACCCAGATATACTGCAGCTGAAAATTCAAGCAGCACAAAATTGTGTTCACTAATTCACTCTCAGATCCATCATCTCTCCTGCTACCCCTGGTTCAGTGGTACACTCTTTCCCCAAACTGGCTTCATCAAAGTTGAGCTTAGGTTTTCTTTTATGAGAATTCTAACGATTTTGGTGCCAACTGTTCAGTTGTAAGGGATATCAACAGATAAACTCTGGTAGACTGGACGGCCACTGGGACACCTCAGTCTCTCCCAGGCTCTTTTATGTCTCATGCACATATAGACCAATGTTCACCTCTAGGGCTCTGGAGGGGGGAAGTTGTATTCCTTTGGGCCACCACCTACAGAAAGATCTCACCCCCTTCCAGTAGAACTGTTCTGGGGTCTAAACCTGCAACACACCGGCCTCTGCGAGACATGAAACATCCTAAGTATAGCACAATCAAGGAAAGTTAGAAACAGCACAGTACTGATTGTGCAGTGTTGAATGCACAGGGTATAGCGTAGCAGACTCAAAGAGACCAGTTGCTTCTGGCACAGCAGGCAGCAACTGACCTTTTACTCTCAAAAGGAGATCTACATACGGATTTTTCAGGAGCTCTCAACGTAGCTGTGCTAACCTCTGAGAGAATATATGTGTTCAATTCTGCCATTCTCAACCCTATTTAACAAGTGGCTTTAGTCTGTGGTTTGTTTTTTTTTTTTTTAAATCACAGCAACAGGAGAAGAAACTAAGTTATTCAACCACTATGAAAACTGTAGTGTAGATTTTACTAAGACCTCAGAAAACACTATTCTAAAAAACTAATTGGATTTTAAGAACAGTTTGAACAAGATCAAAATTCGAGAATGAAAAGAATGCTTCTTGTAGTCAACTGACAGAAGCTGGGGTGAGACCAGCTTATTTCACAGTGAGGATGCACCAAACTTACCACAGATCGTCTTTTAAAATCTTACCTCTCATCAGCCCTGCTCATGAGAGGAGAAGCTCTCAGGGCTGCAGAAGGAAGCTGGTGCCAGCCTGCCTTCAGAGGACACATCCTGCTATGGGATTTCCCTCCAGCAGCAGCAGCAGCAGCAGCAGCAGCAGCAGCAGCAGCAGCAGCAGCAGCAGCAGCAGCAGGAGCAGGATGTGCCTTTTGGTCCGTGTCTTGTCTCCCACAGTGCATTTTGAGTGTGTGTATTTCAGTTTAGCAACCAGAGCTGCCTGCTGGCTTTTGAAGTGTCTTGGTTTCATAATGCATAAAGTGTTGTCCTGATTAGAGGAGTTTGTGCGCGCGCGCACACACATACACACACACATACACACACACACACACACACACACACACACACACACACACACACACACACAAATGGTAAAGCTATCCAAAATATGAGACACATTTGGGAACAAATTGAAACATTTTGTCACCTACGTGGGGACCAACTAAAGGATAATCAGCAATGAAGGGGGGTCCTGAGAAAGAAAACACAACAGGAAGTAAAATGATGGTGTTTCTTTTGTCTCTCCTTACCTTTCCCAACACCTTAGCTCTTCTTTGTCAATTTGGGGCATTAGCAAGTTATCCAAAATAGTGGGAACGAGATAGCCAGGAAAGAGCTCCAAAGGGCCTCTCCTTTCTGCCTCCTTAGATATCCAGGCAGGCAGAGGGAGGACAGGGGTTTGGCAGGCTCACGCTCATAAAGCGCTGCTGCTGACTTCCCTGGGACAGAAAAACACTAAAGCAGACTGGAGAGCTGGGAAGCAGCACAGATGCATGCAGAGGAGCAGTGGTTCCTGCCCTGTGCCTTCTGTTGCTGCAGGCACCTGCCACTCCCCAGCCTTCCCCACTGCGAAGGCTGGGATATGGATATGCTCCTTCCCACATCCCCGGCCTGGACCCGCTCCTGGCATTCCCGCCAAGGTCTTGGAATGTGTACCATCCACAACACTTTGGTGCCTATCTTCACTTAGATTTCTATTCATCCATTAGGTAGCAACAGCACTTTTAGTCATTAGAGAGGCTGTCTACCTGGGCACAGTGGTGCGTGCATGTGATCCCAAAACTCAGAGGACGGGACGTTTCAGGCTAGCCTGGGGGACACAGAAACCCTATCTTACAAAACAAGGGCTGGGAATGTAGCTCAGTGGTAGGAGGCTTTCTAAATCACCCCTACCTAAAACAAACTCTTCCTGCTATTCTCAGAGCACCTCAGTTCCACCTCCCCAGCACTTACCACGGATTGCAACTTACACATAGGCTGAGTGCTACCTGCTGCATTTACAGTGGTTCCTCACCAGCCGGCAAGGTCCATGCGGGAGGAACAGCTGGACTATGTGACCTCATATCCTCAGCTCTATTCTCAATACGGGCCTGCCGCAAAGAAGGGACAGACACTCTGCTATGTAAAATGAGCAGCCGATCTTGGGACTGATGTGTTAAGTTCATTTAAGGACAGGAAAAGTTGAAATATAGCATTTTAGAACAAAAAACTAAAATTAAGGAATGAGAGTTACCTTATTTATTCCTAGTAGTAGAAATTTATAGGGGAATTTAAGGAGAACAGATGGGGCTTCTTAAAAACTTTCCTGAGGAGACAAGAACAAACATCTCACCTCAGACAGGACCTCAGAGACAGAGACAAATGATTTCATTCCAGTGTAGCTTGGTGAACCAACGTGTTTAATTCGGGTTGCTTCCAGAAGCATGGGCACCACTGAAGGGAAAAAATTTCTCCTCCGGAGACTCTTAAGTGTCATTAGGAAGGGGCATGACCTTGGGAGCCTTTCCTCAGAGCAACCATTAACTGTGTAAGTTCTCTGGTAGGGGTAGGACCTTGTGAGACCCTCCTCCAAGGTACTGTTGAGTGTCAACAAACCTTTAGGGAGGCTGAGGCTTCCTATAAATCCTCAAGGAAGAGGTGGCTTGGGAACCACTTTCTCCTAGCAACCATTGGCTACCTATAAAATCTTGGGAGGGAGATGCCTTGTGTGCCTCTCCTACCCGTGACAGAAAGTTAATGGGCCCAGTCTTGTGCAAGTCTCCTGAGGATAATCACAATGGCTTAGAGTTCAAAAGGACATCAGACATGACAGGCCTGGAGAACACCCCACAACACCCCACCCTCTCCTCCAGTTCCTACGTTATTTCCCTTCCCTTCCGCAATGTTCCCTGAGACTTATGCACAGTGTGTCTCATTTAGCCCGGGCGTTCAAAAGTCACTTATTCTCAGCACTTGGGCCAGTTACAAGTCTCTACAGTCATCACTGCCCACTGTAAACAGTTTCTCTGACCAAAGCTGACAACCCCTGTAATCTATGGGCATACAAGGAAATATTAACCAGGCAATCTGAAAGGCACTATGAAAACTAGTCGGAAGGGAGAAGGCTTCCAACTCAGTCCCGGCTTGGTTTTTCTACATTCTGCAAAGCTGGTGGCGTCTTCAGCAGTTTGGCCTTACCATCCAGTTTTGGTGGGCAGTCAACAACAGTGGCAACGGCCTACACTGTTTAGGGGGTTATAGGTCTCCTTGGCCAAAAACTAATAGGGAAGAATCCTATTCCCACCACTAGAGCGTATGTTCCATTGTTCTAAGGCCTCTCGAAGTGCCCTTTCCCACCCCTGCAGCGTGTGTGTGTGTGTGTGTGTGTGTGTGTGTGTG